TTTTAAACTTATATTTTTGTCAAAAGCATATCTGTATAGATATAGTTATATAAGTAGGATTGAAAGGACTTAGGACTGATAGCTCGCCTTACTTCCTATTCCTTGTTTGGTTGTGGACTTAGGGTATCGGTTGTTTGTCCGAAAGTCATTTGAATCTTAGTTATATATTATGTGTATGTATATAGATATAAAAGTCCTTCATTCAGTTCAATACCCTTGGGTAGCAAAGGTGTACAAACATGTTCATACATATAAACAACATTGCTAGTAAACTATAATAGGTATAGTTTAGGAAGTCACTAATACTATTACTAGAACAACGAAACATACTAAGAGTCAGTTCATACATGAGTCAGTACATACTATAACGAGAAACAATACTCACTATAAAGAGAAATAGATAGAGAATACTATAACGAGAATCAATACATACTACACATTACATACTAGAGAACATACTACATACTAGACAGAGAGAACATACACTACACTAGTACATACTATACAAATACAAGAATACTATAACATTAATGTGAGATACTACTTAATGGCTCGGCATATACTGCTGTGTCACATTTTGTACCCAGAGTCTCCTGGAGGGAGAGCATGAATTTGTGTATAGATCTATATGGGACTGACCCTCCTACACCTTACTGCTAGCTACAGTGGGACCTGCAGGTCTGCGGGTGACGAATGTCATATCAGTTCGACGTCTAGAACGTCGTGCTTTACTGGTCAATCGAGTATGGTTACAATCATATCACATTTTACCTTATTTAACTAACAAGTTTAAAGGTGGTTAGTACATTAGTAGTTACCTAGATAAAACTACAATACATCTTAATTTTCCCAATTCATTCACATTGTGATCTTCTCACATAAACGGTAATGAGAAACTATATTTTGGTAATGATAGTCATACTTTGGGAAAACTCACACTTTTACAAAAGAACAAACATAGAGATCAGTTGAGTCTTGGTAGAAGACTACTTTAGTAGAAAATATAGGATTTTCTAGGAAGTTTACCAACATTTACATCAAATACTTACAAACTTTTACATCAAACATTTACAAGTACATTCTTCAAACTTATACAAACAATGACACTAAAATACTTATGAACTCACCAGCTTTAATGTTGATCTACGCTTTCAAAATAACTTGTATTCTCAGGTCGCCAGTAGACAGGTACCGATGACCAGGTTTTGAGAAGATGGAGCACATTCAAGACTCATCTTTTATTTTGATTTTACATTTTGGTGTCTTATAAACTTCAGAACACACTTGTATTAAAATTATTACTATTAATGCAATGGATGATGTTGTTGCTTGTTTACTATTATGCATTGTTGTGATACTGTACATGACGTCCTCCGCCCCCGAACGTTTCCGCCGTTCCGGTTTTGGGGTGTGGCAGTTTGTCCCTTCAAGCTTGCCAGATTCTTGGAAATCTAATATTTCTTGGTCAGATTTTACGTTCATGATGTCAGAATTTATAATCTTTCTTGACTCCAAGATCATCGTCAGCATTTATAATCCGACTGTTTGGATTCATTTGATTCCCCTTAAGGTTACTACTTTTGTGTTTCAATCACTCAATTGGGGAATGATTCGGCTAATCACTTTCTTGATGTGTGTGATTATGCTCGGGAGGTTTTGGGATGGATTTTTCAATGGTGTGGTATCATTATTGTTGATGAGGTGATGAATTTCGTAGCTAATTGGGGTCATTGCCCCAAAAAACGCAAAATTTTGATTTCCATTTGTTACGGGTACTTGTGGTGTGTCCGAAAATGCAGGAACGATAAACTTTTTAACAAAAAAATGTTTCACTCCCTCAAAAATGGCGGATAATATCATCACAATGGTTTTTAGTTGGGTAAAATTTATGGGCAATTTTGTAAACCGTACTTGGGTCAATTAGTGGTGTAACCCTTTTAGTATTTTGTAATCGGTTGTTGTTTTGTTGTTTGTCGGTCTGCCTTGCCTTACTTCTCTTAAGGCAGACGTCTGTGCTTTTTTAATAATATTGTCGTTTCCAACTAAATATAGTGGACGACAGCTTGCGGAGGGAAGAATCGAAAAGAGAGGCGCTATAAAAAAATCCATGCTAATTCTTTAAAAATCAACAAAAATTCCATAATAATCCAACAAAATCTCACGTTAATCCACTACCTTCATTTTCCTCAAAATCTAGAACATGAAGCTAATTTATATATATACTAGGCGAATATCCGCGTGTTGCGCGGAATAAAATTAAAACTTCTGGTAAGCTTATGTTATTGAAAATATTTATATCATTTATATTAACTATAAAATAATAATTATTACATTTAGTTTATATAAAATTATAATTAATTTGAACAATAGATAAAATAACGCTTATTAAAATCAAATCATTTAATGGTCTCTACTCATGTTTTACGCGTGTATAATATTAGTTATATTGGTCAACTATTTTAATTTACTACTGTTATGATTTATTAATTTTAAAAAAATTGACTGGGTTTTAATTTCGTCATGATGATTATTTAAATTATCAACAATTGTTTGTAATCTAACATAGTTTAATTTCTAAGTTTCTATTATTTTTTAACTATTATTATTATAAATTAATTTAAAAACAACTGAATTGAATTTTAGTTATTATAAAATATAGTTTTCAGACACCTTTTAGTTAACTCGATTCATAGATTTAGGTTTTTTATATTTATTATATTTAATGTTTTCCTTTTAACTATGTTAAAAAAACGATATATATTGAATTTTTTTTAAAACATTATTTGATATTTTACTTTAGGTTTTAAATTTTACACTAAATTTTTAAGCTTATTTGATATATTAATGTAGATTATTTATTTAATAATATATTAAAGTTAACAAATTAAATATATATCATATTGATAAGTCATTAAGTCTTCCATTTATGATAATGTTTACAACTAAAAACATATTTAAGTTAATAAATTAAGTATATTATATGGAAATATGAAGAGTTGGGAGTTTCAAATAAATGTGGTGAAAGAAAAAATGTTTCATTTATAATATAACTAGGTGAATGTCTGCGCGTTGTGCAGAAACATTTATATAGTTGAAGTCTTTACAAATATATGTTTTTTTTTAAACATAACAATAACGTTGTTGTTAAACTTTATATAATAATTCCTAGACTAAATTTATATAATATATTGACTATTTTTAATTATATGATAATATATACATCTATTATAACTGCATAATCTCAATCGTTTGAATGACTTCTACCCCCAAGTTACACATGAATAAAATTAAATATAATATATGGTTGAATGTTATTTATAGTTGTTGTTATTGTTAATTAATTTTTTAAAATTTATTAATGTTTTAATTTCTATCATTTTAATTATTTAAAACATCAAACATTGTTTTTTAATTTTAAAGGTAACAATATAATCATTTATATAAAGTTATTTTAAATTATTGTTATTGTAAGTTATTTTAAGCTACTTATTTGAAAATTTTTAACGATTATAAAAATATTTTTAGGAAATTTTTTAGTTAAATTGAGATTATAATTTAGGTTTTTTGCATTTATCACTACAATTTATCACTTTTAACTATTTACAAAATATTCTTTGGTTTTTTAAGTGGAACTGAAATTTATATTTAAGTTGACAATGTAATGTTATATTTAAATTAACAATTTAAGTATTTTTTCCAAACTGTTCGAAAGTTGTAGCTTTAAACTGATAATGGTTTACATACAACAACATTTTAAATCTAATAAATTAAGTATAATATGTTAAAAGTTTGACAAAATTGCAAAATTGGTCCCTATGGTATGTAATTTTTTGGGGTTTTAGTCCAAACCTCCAGTTTTTTGGATTCATGGTCCTTTTGGAGTGGTTTGTATATGAAAATAATCCCTTTGAAAATTGAAATTACTATAATACCCTTGGGGTATTTATTTTTCATTTTTCTTTCATTTTTTAAAATTTAATATTTATTTATTCATTTTAACAATTAAAAAATAACAGAGGACCCACCTCTCTCTCTCTCTCTCTCTCCTCAAACTTTATACATACACACATTTCAAATTAAAAACACACAGAGACATAAACACACACTTTACACACAAAAAATGTGTGTTTACATTTCAAAGAACAGAGGTAGGGATAAAAACAAGAAACAAATGCTTTTGGGTGTGTTTATCCCCAAATGATTCCCACCTGCTACTCCTCCATCATTCAGTGTCTACTATGCACCAATGGCATTCGCACCTACCCCATTGATTCACAACGTCGGGTAAAACAAGAGACAAAGAATAGAGGGAACCTTGAACCATCTTCACAACGAGCAAAAAAATACATTCACTCGTTTCCTTGCTTATCTTGTTTCCGTCCACTGGAATATCCAGAAGCCTAGACAAGAATCCAATTAAAACAAACACCCAAAAATTTAGAACCGATACTGAATAAAATCATGATCAAGAATCTAGGATAATCCAGATAAGAGAATTATCGGCAAGAAGTAGAAGATTGAGTTGATTTAGAGAGCCAATTAATGGAGGAATTGGACCGAAGACTAAGCTAGACATAAGTTCGAGCACCTGGAGTGCATGAAGATTTTGTCCTAACCAATCAGGTATTCGCCATGGAAGAGAAAATCCTAAAGAGGTAGCCAATTTAGTACATTTCACCAAACAATCAATAGAAAAATATGAGAAATACGTCCAACAGGAGTTTGTTGCAAACATCATCATCTTCTTCCTCTCTTCATATTCTAACCAACATCACCACCCATCTCCGCCTCCATCGATAGTTGGGTGCTCTAGAACCCTAGATTTGAGATAATTTGACACGATGCTGTTGAGCCCTTACTACTTGATGTCGATCAGATCTATCACCTTTCTTACTCTGCTTCCCTGTTAATTACAAACATAATCCAGTCAATACAATCAGATTGGAGCACGCTTCTTGCCAACAAACACCAGTGAGGAGATAAGTTGAAGAACGAGGGAGATGGCCGTGAAGATTGACGTCGCTGCTAAAATGATAGTGGCGTTGGAGGTAGGTTTCAACAAGAAAAGTGGTGGCGGAGCAGGAGGACCACGATGGAGGTGGGGGCTAAGAGTTTCTTGTGGGTTTTTTCTTTCTATGGTTTTCCCTATTTGTTCTAAATGGAGATTCAGTATCAAATTCATGGTAAAATTGATTTTGACTTTATAAAATCGAGAGAGAGAGAGAGAGAGAGAGAGAGAGAGAGAGAGAGAGAGAGAGAGAGAGAGAGAGGTGGTTCCTTTGTTATTTTTTTAATTGTTAAAATGAATAAATAAATATTAAATTTTATAAAAAAAATGAAAAATAAATGAAAAATAAATACCCCAAGGGTATTATAGTCATTTCAATTTTCGGAGGGACTATTTTCACATACAAACTACTCCAAAAAGACCATGAATCCAAAAAACTCGAGGTTTGGACTAAAACCCCCAAAAATTTGCATACCACAGGGACCATTTTTGCAATTTTGTCTAAAAGTTAAAGACATAACTTTATAAATAGAAGTAAAAATATTATTTTAAAATTGAAATTTAGTTTATTTATGATTACACTTTAGCTTTGATATTTATTTAACCTTATTAACCAACTTATAATCATTATTAGAAAGACACTACAAATTATCACTTTTAACTAGTTATAAAATATTTTTTGGGTTGTTTAAGTTAAACTAAAATTTTTATTTAAGTTGACCCTGTAATGTTATATTTAAATTAATACCTTAAGTATTTTATACAAATTGTTCCAAAATTGTATCTTTAAAATTATATGGTTTACATTCAACAATATATTAAAACTAATAAATTAAGTATAATATGTTAAAAGTTAAAAAAACATAACTTTATAAGTAGAAGTAAAGATATTATTTTAATATTGAAATTTAGTTTATATATGATTACACTTTAGGTTTGATATTATTAGAAAGAAATTGAAAAGTCATGGGAGTTTCAAATGAATGTGGTGAAAGAAAAATTGTATGGGAGTTTCAAATGAATGTGGTGAAAGTAAATATTTCTTTTATAATATAGTATGATATGATATGATATATATATATATATATATATATATATATATATATATAGAGAGAGAGAGAGAAAGAGAGAGAGAGGTAAGTTCAATTGAGAAAATAAAAAAGGTTGAGAATGAGGGAATCATTCTCAGCCACTCATTTATTTTTGTCGCAAAAGCCTCCGTTGTACCAGCGAAAATGGATAAGGAATACACATGTGTTTCCAACAAAACATGTTTCCTTAAACTATGCTAATCATTACCTTAATATATACAAAAACATAGTTTTTTTTCGTTTTTTTAATTTTAAAGAGCTATTTTTAACGAAAAATGATTTTAAATATACCAAAATTCATGATTTTTTATTCTCTACAAATAGACATCCATATTGATATACTTTTAAGATAAAATAAAAAAAAAAAATTTATATTTTCAACTATCGTTATTCATAAATGAATAAAAATGAATCAGATTTTTGCTACAGTACATTCGTTATTCACTTATGAATAAAAATATATAATTAATTTTTTTACAGTTTAAGTATCATTTATACTACTTATTCATATATGAATAACAAATTAACTGTAAAAAAATCTGATAAATGTTTTATTCATTTATGAATATAAAATATGACGACAACTAATACACGTTTTATTCATATATAAATATAATATATGACGAAAGATGATGTAAAAAATATATTTTAAGTAAGAAAAACTTTATTATGTGTCATATTCATATATGAACGATACTTAAACTATAAAAAAAAAATTAAGCATACGTTTTATTCATAAGTGAATAACGAATGTACTGTAATAAAAATCTAATAGATTTTTATTCACTTATGAATAACGATAGCTGAAACTCTAAAAAAAAATTATTTTATCTTAAAACTATATATCAATAAGGATGTTTATTTATAGAGAATAAAATTATGAATTTTGATATATTTAAAATAATTTTTCGATAAATATGGCTTTCTAAAAATAAAAAAAACAAAAAAAAATTATATTTTTGTGTATATTAAGGTAATGATTAACATAGTTTAAGGAAACATGTTTGGTTGAAAAACACATGTTTATCCGTTATCCATTTCCGACGGTACGCCTAACTGTTTTGCGGCAAAATAAATGTGTGGCTGAGAATGATTTCCCCATTCTTAACTTTTTTTTCTCAATTGAACCCTCATATATATATATATATATATATATATATATATATATATATATATTATATATATATATATATATAATTCACTATACTAATTTTATATTATATTTCTAAAAACATGTAGACTTAAAAAGGTCTCTGTCACTTTTTCCCAAAAGACATGGGCAAGTCTCTTCTCAAGTCTACAGACCTCTTCCGGTTAAAGAAAAAATTAAAAAAAATCTTGACATTGTTCTTTTACTCATTTTCTCGCTAAAACTCGCAATTGTTGTCGCAAAAGCTTTTCAATTCTTTCTTTCCTATCTTTTTTGGTTATTCTGTAATTCTCTTTTCTTGTGCGGAGAAATCAATCATCTCATTTGCATTGAGTAATCAATAATTATCTAAAATATATATTTTGAATAATACGTTATCTTGTTATCTTGGTATAAGGTAAGAAACTAAGAATGTTATAATCTAAAATATGATTTATGATCAAAATACTTTATGTAGTTAAAAAAGTTTATTATCTAAAATATAAATTGATGACCAATGTATGTTATCTCCTTGTATACTTTTATTAGATAACATATATAAGGTTTTTTTTTCTTAGATAAGATACAATAGTAATGCACATATATCGGGTTTTTAATGAGTTTTCCATTAGTGTATAACACCATTTAGAAGGGGTGTGCATTAAATCAAACAAACCGCATAAACCGTCCGCACTGCACCGCATAACCCGGTTTAGAACAAGCGTGGTGCGGTTTGCAGTTTAAAATTTTGTTAAACCGCAGTATGCGGTGCGGTTTGCGGTTTCCAATTGTAAAACCACGGTTCAAACCTCACCGCACCGCACACACACACACACACACACACACACACATATATATATATATATATATATATATAGGTAAAGGTTCAAATGAGAACCACTAGAGGTTAAGAACCCTAAGAACCACTAAAAAACATTACTTCATCTTTCTAACATAAACATCATCAGACCATTCTTTCACCTGACTTCAAACATATCTTCATCTTTGCTTCTTTCTTCATCAGATAACATCCACCATTTCCGTTGTCCTTACCACCAGCGACTTTGCTCCGACGACTTACCACCGTCGTCTTTTATGTCGACAGCACCACCACCACCACCATCTCCTCCGCCGACTTCTTCTACCGCCATAAATCACCACCACCTTCTCCGATCATCAGTGAATATCAATATCTACATCAGATCTTACTAGATCCACATCAAAAATTACCAAATCTACATCAGATTTGACTAGATCTACATCAGATCTGACTAGATCTACATCAGATCTCCGGTGAAAGATCCATACTTAACTATATGGCCTTCTATTCGAGATTTCAACATCACCGTCAAACCTCCGACATGTACCACCTCCAGATGCGTCATCACCATTGTATCTTCACTGCCCCTCCAGATCTGCTTCGCCTCCATAATTTTTGTGTCATTTCGTTGTTCATGCTCGTGATTCCAGATCTGGTTTCCTTCACATCTAGTTTAAAACCTTCAGATTTGATTTCCTTCATGTTCTCCACATCTAAAACCTCTAAAGCTTTTTTGTTTATTTGGATTTTGTTCTCCGTTTTGAAGCATGTTCGCAACTGAAACTCTAGCTGCCACAAGATCTGAAGAAATCTAACAAATCTCCGGTAAGATTGAGACCAGATCTGAGACCGCCGTCAACCACCACCACTTATGTTGCTTCGTCGATCTATTAAACACTGTCAAATATTCTCCATCTATTTATCTCTGATCTCTGGTGAAACACATCAGGTATGTTAATATTTGTTTACTTTTTTTTTCTTTCTGTTAAGTTATGAATTTAATGTTCTAATCTCTCATTTGTTGTTTACTTTTGTTAAACATAGTTTTTTCTACTATTAAGTTGTTAATCCATGTTTATTATGTTTTTCTATAATGTTTGCATCAAGTTTTTATTCACACTTTATGTTTTATTGTTGTTAAGCTGTGAATTGAATTTAAAATGTGTGTTATTATGTTAGTGTTTTCTCAAATAATATGAATTTTGATTTTTTTAAGCTTTGAACTGTGTTGTTTTAATGTTTCAAATGTTGTTTAGTTCTATTTAAGTTAGTTACTGTGAATGAGTGAATTAATATGTTTTTATGTTATAAATACTATGAATGAGAGTCCTAAACTGATTATTAAACTGTGAATTTGTGTGGTGCACACAATGTATCTGATGAATTTTGTATATTAAACTGTGAATTGTGTATTTATTATATTAACGTATAAATATAAGTTTTAATTTGAAAATATGGTTATAAATATAAATTGTTTTTGTCTTAAATTGTGAATTTATTATATTAAGTTGTTAATTTTGTATACTAAATTGTGAATTGTGTATTACGTTGTGAATTTTATTCACAATTTAATACATATAAATGTCTTCATATATTAACGTATAAATATAAGTTTTAGTTTGAAAATATGATGGTGAATATAAATTTTTTTTGTCTTTGTGAATTTATTATATTAAGTTGTGAATTTTGTATATTAAACTGTGAATTGTCTGTATTAAGAGTTTCAAATTGATATTATTGTTGTGAATTTATATTTTTTGTATTAAACTGTAAATTTATTATAATAAACTGTGAATTTTACGTATTAATCTATGATTTTTGTATTTTAAACTTTGAATTAACTGCATTAAGCTGTCAATTTTTATTTAAATTGTGAAATTGGCTATATTAAACTGTGAATGTTTTATATTAAATTGTGATTTTTATTTTTAAAAATGTGAATTGACTGCATTAAACTATGGATTTTCTGTTTAAATTGTGAATTGACTGCATTTTGCTGTGAATTTTTTATAATTTATGTCAAAATATGAATGATTTATGCATAAATTTTTGTGTTAATTTTCTTATAAATATATTTGTTTTTTTGTTGTATACTTTTTTAAGAATCCACTAGTTATTATAATTGTTTTGCATTAAATTCAAAACGAGTGAATTAACAGGCTTGATTAGACTGTGAATGTAGTATTTAAGTTATTAATGCGTGATTTTATTTACAGGTCTGATTTGGAAGAAATGACGGCTATTATGTTCATACAGTTGGTGGGTGGCGGCATGTGGTGGTAGAGTTTGAGTTTTTGACTTCTTTGAATTAGTGAATTATTGTAAAACAATTTGTATTAAGTTGTGAATTTTTTGCATTAAACTATAAATGGGTTGTGTAAATCTGTATTTTATATAAGTTTTGTGTTAAAATATGAGAGCATATACGAATGAAAATATTAGACTCTAAAAATTATAAGTTCGCTCTTTCGTACCAAAAACACAAAAAATTAGGATTTTAACATGTTTAATAAGAGTATCGTGTAAATATTTACTGATAAATTGGGATTTTTAGGGTTCTTAATCTTTTATGGTTCTCATTTGAACCACTCCCTATATATATATATATATATATATATATATATATATATATATATATATATATATATATATATAATTTTTTGTGTAAACAATACAAACACATCAAAAGGAACAGAACCATGTGCATTTGGTTTTATTGCTAATGAATTTACATGTAATGTCTTTGATGCTTTCATTTCTCTAAATAAATGCTTCACAAGTTATTTATTTGGTTTGTTACAAACCGAATGGAATGTCATCAACAAGTATAATTTTAATTTTTTTACCGCTGAAATACATAATATAAAAAATTAAGAAGTTTCTCAAACCGTATAAAGCGCACAAAAACCGCATGAACCGCCTGCACCAAACCGCACCGTATAATGTGGTTTAGAACATTTGCGGTGTGGCGGTTTCTAAAAATCTCGAACCGCACATGCAGAAACCGCACCACGAACACCCCTACCATTAGACACATGAAAAAAAAAACAGCTTTTTGAAACTCTAGTTTGTTTTATGTTATATACAGACTTTAGAAAACAGTCTCTTTCTTGGAGATTGTATATGTTTAGACCATATCATCTTCTGTATATGTGGTATGCAGACTGCAGACATTTTATATTTTTAAAAACAAACAGCACATTTGTGTTCCTTGGTCTGAATCTCTTTTCGTGGTCTTCTAAACGCCAATGTGTCGTTTCCAAATCTAGTGTTTAAGCAGACTATCGTTGAGTGGCAAATGTTGTTACTGAGACATGTTGGATTTGCAACCTCCTCCAGGAGCTACACCAACCAATTCTCGTTGCCATGATTATTTTTTATGATAATGTAAGTGCGGTTTATCTCTCCAACAATCCAATTCAGCATCAACGAACCAAACATATCGAGATTTGACATCCACTTTGTAACATTCGGATCCCGAGGTACTTTATATTTTGAAATTTTGGCATTTTTCGGATCGCCACGACATGGTGAGAAGGCACCACAACGTCGCAAGTCAAGGTCAACCCGCGTAGTTCATTTAAGCCGCCACGACATGGCAATATAGGCCACGACGTAACAGGTGGAAAATACGGTTTTGCTCCCTATTTAAGGGAATGAAGAGGCTAGGGTTTGCTCACCCTCAGCCTCCATCAAACCTGTGAAACCCTAAATCCCTCTCTCTCATTTTGAGCCATTGTTGGTGTTCTTGAAGCCTTGGAAGAAAGAAAGAAGAAGAAGCGAGCTAAGACTCAGCAAGCTAGTCCTCATCCCTGGTGTTAGAAATTTTTTGGACCTTTGTAAGTGTCCAAGACTCAATTTTTATCAAAATAGATTGCTAGATCTTATGTTTTGTTCCTTATCTTCATGTTTTGTGATATGGAATGATGGGATCTCATAAAGCGTGCAACTTTATGAATCTATGGGACTTTTGGGTATGATTTTTATCAAAACAGATTGCTAGATCTTATGTTTTGTCCCTCTTTTTGGCTCATCATGGCTTCAAGACATGAATTGGACATGCATGTCTATAAAGCTCCAACTTTTATGTTGGATTAGGTATTAGAATTTGTTCTGGAGTAAATGACCAATAGACTTTTTGGAATAAGTGTTTAATGGGGAAAGTCATGTCATATTTAGCTCCTTTGAATCTAGGGTTTCAGGTTTTAACCTTGTGGATGGTCTTATCGGTTAAAGTTGGAAACTTTATCCTTCTAGACCTTGTTTCGGACCAGATCTTAAATTTAGAGCCTTTTGGATCGAAGAAAATAGTTTAATCCATTAAGCTCCTAAAAACCAGTGTTCACGGCGTGGCTCAGGTCGCAATGGCGTGGCAGTGTGGAAAATCATGATTGGTTGATACTGGAGGGCCACTGCATGGCCATAGGTGGCTACGGCGTGGCTATTGACTAAAGTCGACGTTGAACATTGACTTTGATCATTGACCTTTGACTTGAGTTGACTTTTGGTCAAGCACCTATTTTGGAGGAAGAGCTCAAGGTTTATTTGGTTTGACTGATTAGGTGGTGCGTGGGAGCGGTACTCTCTCAATGAGAGTAGTAGCAGTAGAGCATTTTTCTATGAGATGAGTCTTCTCACCACACTAGAGGGTCGAAGGCACCAATGTCGGCCCACTGATTCATATGTGTAGGATGTATGTGACTATGTGACTATTACTGATATTATTGTATGATATATGCATGGAGCCAAACTGGGCTCGGACACATTATGGACTCGCGGTTGATACGGACCCAACACAGCTACTTGATTTTACATGGGTTTGATACGGACCCGACACAACCACACTAATCTTTGTGCTTACAGTTATGTTTATGGTTTCAGGTATTCCTGGTACGAAAGGGAAGGGCACGGCGTAATGACACAGCATCCTCCCCACCCTTATGTTTCCGCGATTATGATTTCTTTTACTCTGACGTTTTGCATAGTTTGTATCTTGGATGTTTTCGAGACATATGATCTATAGGATTGATGAAATTGAAAATAAAAATTGTATCATTGTTTTTGGGACTACGTACGTGCGACGTACATGACTCGTACGCCCTGCGTACGTTGTTGATCCGGAATCGGGGAACTGGCCCAGTACGCAGAGGGTACCTAAGAGTACGCCCAATGTACTGGTCAGTCAGCCCAAAGATGCTCCAATGTCTTAACCCGATAAGCTTTAACGTCCAAAATTCATATCCAATATCATAAAAGTGTCTTAAACCATAAAGTTGCACACTTTATGCTCTTGCATGACTTAGTGGGACTCAAACCATGAATTAAGCCTTCTATCTCTCTTAAGTGGTCACCAACAAATGCATGGTTGAGTCTTAACCTTCAAGATACGATT